ATGGCAACTTCATCTGACCAGAAAGGAACGTAGAAATAATTGCTTCCCGAATCTGCAGAAGATGGAAAATATTTCAAACTTCATTATATTCAACAAGATGGATTAACAGAGTGGGCTGACATAGCAACGATTGTAAACATGGCGTGGGACTGGACCACGTTTTGTTCTGTTTCCGTGGTGTCACTATGAGTCGGAGCTGATCAACGGCCCCCGGCACCAACAACCTAATCCACTGGCTGCGTTTTCATTTTAACATGGATGGTTCCCTGACAGTCCTTCCTCACATAATCTTCTTAGTCTCAGTAATTTACTCACAAAATGTTAGTCTGGTGATGAGAGCTAGGGTGGTAAGGTCTCCCATACAACCACCTTCTCAAGCTGGTAGACATTTCTGACTTTCCACCATTACACACATGTTGTCAGAACACTGTTGGGTTGTTGTTGATGGTGGGCGCCATTGAATCAATTCCAACTCATGGCAACCCTAAATGACAGAGTAGAACTGCCCCATAGGGTTCCCAAGGCTGGCATCTCTCTGGGAGCTGATTGCTAAGTCTTTCTTTCACTGAGCAGCTGGTGCGTTCAAAATGTTGACCTGCTGGTTGGCAGCTGAGGGCTTAACCAGTGTGCCACCACGGCTCCTGCGTCAGACATATGTTTGCTGATGGTCACAAAGCTTCTTAACCAGCAGGGAGCCTGCATGGATATACTGAGGGCGTGCTGGAACTATCTCGTAGCAGATTGCGATAGCCACTTGTTACTTATTGTAGTGGTTACGGTTGCGTGTCAACTTGGCTGGGCCTGGTTGAGGGGCTGGGTGGGAGTTATTCCCCATGATGAGACTGGCGATCGACTCCATGGTGGGATCTACCACAAGCAGCTGAGTAGCTGCTTTAGGGATGTGGTCTGCTTCCTGTATAGAAGAAGCAGCTTGGGAATGGTGTCCAGCTTAGGGCACGCTTGAACCCGGCATGTAGCCATGTCGTTGTTCACCAGCCTGCCATGCTCTGCCAGCCTTGGGACTTTCAATGGACCTGAATCAATGCCCTGCTGTGTGGTTTGTTAACATCAGGACTGTGCCATTTTATTTGTCTACCTTTGGCTTGTTA